CGACTTCGATGATGAACAGATAAACAGTGCGTGAACCCACTATAACTTTGGACGACTGGTATTGTCCGGAGCCTGCCGGTCAAAGTTCATCTGATGTCGGCCGCGATGTGGCTGTTGCCTGGAATTCGAACCAGCTGAGGGCGTCTTACACCCTCTTAAGGAAGTAGCTGCCAACTTGAAGCATAAAATTGGAGGATGTTGCAGCCCGGTGAGTACGGTCCCAACAGCGATTGGGCGCTTTTAGCCGAGGCGGTGACATTCCAGCAGATCTATCAGAAGCCCATGCCTCTTCCGCCGCCCTCAGTGGAAGGACAGGGCAGGAAGTGTGTGATCCGGATTTCCCGAGCCACGATGCTGACTTCGTTCCAGATGACCGGACCACAGATCCATCGGCGTCAATCTGCAGATGTAAGGGACCCATCCACCGGTCTCTCACATCCCACGACCTCAGCAAGCTTCAGCGCGTCCGTGTCGGCTTTCGCACCTCGGCCCTCATGATTTCCTGGCCTCCCTTTGGTTTCGGCTTATTCCTAACCCCCACACGCTCATCCGATTGCTAACAGGCTAACCACTGATCCAACATTGATCAATGATACCCCTGCTATGCGGCCCAGGACATCCTTTCTCCATGTCGAGTTCCAATCATTGCTACAGATAACACGAGCGCCGGTGAGAGTGCTTCCTACCTGATTTCCCCGAGCCCACTATAAGATAGAACGAGGTGCATTCGTGCATGCCAGGCCAAACCCCACACAACTCCCTTTCGCACTTGAAGTCCATTGACTCAGACAATGTCCGCCCCGAATACCACATTTGTCCTTCCTCCGGGTGTCATCAACCCAGAAACGCCACTGGCTTACCTGCCCTCGGTCTTGGCGACCCAATTCGAAGCGTCTCGCTATCTGTACATCGCATCGCTCAGTGTATGCTTCAGTGTTATTCTTCTGTTCCAGTGCACGCTCGCTGAGTTGGGAACACAGGCATGGATCTGGGACTTCCTCTTGTCTCTCAAAGAAGACTACACTCTGCTTTCACGTTATAGGCTGAATATTCCTACAATGGTGTACTTCGTGTCTCGGTAATTATAAGGCGGTTTGGTCACGTTTCAGCCGCCTCTGACCATCTTTCACACATGACAGGATCGCGTCGTTGGCTTACGTGACCACTTCTACTGTCTTTCAAGGTGCGCTCACTCTATTGCGTCAGGGTTGGACTAACACGCGACACAGTATCACCTATTGGGTCATGTCAGGCATTGCAGTACGCGTTAGGATGGTGCTATGTTGTGGCTGGGCCATCCACGTCACTCCTCTTTTTATTCCGCATTCGCGCCGTCTTCTTCCACAATAAGCCCGTGGTGCTTCTCTTCTCTCTTCTATGGCTTGCGGTCCTAGGCACCGCTTTCACGGTTCCATTTGCCATAACCGGAGAACACATTGGACCTACCCAAAGGTGCATTAATACCGCAGTCAAGTCATTCAGCTCTTCGTCCATTATTGTCGGTGGCATCTTCGACTCACTTGTGTTCTTAACAATCTCCTACCGACTTCTCACCACAAACCTGGTGGAAGAGACCTGGTCTTCTCGTCTGAATTCCTTCCTCAGCGGCTCTGGGTTCACGAGACTCCCAGCTGCCCTCCTCCAAGGCGGACAGATGTACTATCTGTAAGTTCACTCAGATCTTTGCAGATGCATTCAATAATTCTTGGCCCTTCAGCGCTACTTCAGGGGTGAACATCTTTACAATTATCATGGTGCTCACTCCAAGCGTACCGGCCGTGTATCACGCAATGTTTACTGTTCCCAATCTTGCGCTTGAAAATGCGATGGCAGGTCGAGTGTTCCGGCAGCTCAAGCTTGGCATGCTCCATGGCGGAGAGGAGACATTGATCAGGGGTGATTCGTGGCAACAGAGATATGGTCAAGCTTCCAGAGGCGGAAAGGTCAATGCTACTATTGACATGGAATCAAGCAGTGGCACACATGCACTACATACCCTGACCTCATCTGCAAGAGGTATACAGGTAAAGGTTGATGAAGTGATCTCCACCGATGTTTCCTCTGCAAAGCAGGCGCCCCTAAACTCTGATTCTATTTAGGGGGTATCCTCCTGTGATGCAGACATTGGAGCACTGAGGAGCCCACATGTAGCACAGACTTCTGGATTTGTTGTGTAGTGCTACCTTGCAATATGTAGTCTCCCAGCATATAGCCAGAATTCTTCAGATGGTTCATATATATCTATGGTTCTACTGAGATTGTGGTTGCATCCCTCATTCTCCAGAAGAGTGGACAGAACTGGGCAGAAAATGAGCCACTCCAATGGGCAGACTTGGACAGCACTCATAAGTGTGGACATAGAGCAGCAGACTCCAAAACATAAAGGTAAACTGGGGTGGATTACACAGTCCACAATCCAATATGATAAGCATTACTCCAATTCCTGACCTGCTATGGCAGGGATTGATTGAATTGTGGCTCCCAGCACCTAGCCTCAGAGTAGGTGGGCTCCAGTTACAGTGTTTGGCATTCAAACAGATGAGATTATACATGGCCCACTTATCTGTTAGGAGGCCAATATATGCAGGCCTTCAGCCCTTGAGCTTCGACACCTACTACAGGATAGACCTGCACAACCCAGACATGATGTAGAGCTTAAGGGTTCTGAATAGGTGTGCCTCCAAAGCATACTGGAAACTCTGGTCTCTGTGCTTCAGCCAAAGATCAACTCTTGCACATTGCAAGAGCCTGAGTTGGGGATATACAAAATAGTAGAAAAAGGCCATTTATATGCAGTGTTCATTTCATTCGGTCAGGTGTATACTCCTGGCCTTACTCAATGCATTGCCAAGCCCTTGCAGCTATTTGCCCTCCAGGAATAGAGCCCAAGTGGAATGAGGACCTCACAATACAGACAAATCAAGAGTGGTGCCATCCTGACTAAGACCGGTACTGACCTGCAGAGTTGCAGGGGGAGGGACAAATGACAGAATCTCAACAATCACAGGTGCGGGAGGGGCCTGGCATTGGGTAGCATCGAGCTCATTAGAGGATAACAGGTGCAGTATGCTGTCATCGTCATGTGCATCACTACCACTGTCAGACAATATTATCATTCAAATGCCAAACTGTGCTATCATCACATGCTGAATGTCATCCCCTCCAGGCTGGAAGTCTACCACCACTACCAGCATCAAGCCGAAGGGACCGGTACATAGAGGCTGGTTGGGGGTAGGAAACAAAGAGTTATATGACATATCCTTTGAGCACACCAAGCACCTGCTGCTGATGGGAGAGAGGATTAGGGCAAGTATTGGGAAAGAAATGTTATAGAAGGACTTGGAAGGACTGGCAGTTTTCTCATAATTGGCCAAACTATCATTCTCACTTTCTTGTTTGTGCTTTCCCATGTTATTGTTCAAGATGTTCCCACTCCTTATTCTTGATTTCCCATGTGTTTTTTTTATCTTCTATGCTTTTCTCACCTTATTGTTTACCACTTTCCCATGCCTATTGTTATAAGATAGAGCCACCTCATGTACAACTACCATCACGTGACTCTTCGTCACACTTGGCGGGACAAACACCAAGATTGCCTTAAACCTCCAGACACAAACAGAAAACGCCCAATATTTTTAAAGGAATCAAAGATACAGTACATAAAAACACTTCCTATAAAAACATCTGAGAGTTTCAATCTACCCATCTCTGAAGTGTGGTCAATTCTATTCATGAGTTTGTCGATTTCCTTACACTGACCTGCCATATATGGATAAAACACATGATCATCACATTGTGACCATAGTAGCTGTACATGAGGTGGCTCTGTCTTAGCTTCGTTACGAGTCCTGAGGTATGAGGGATGAGTCCTTACACTCAAAATTGAGCAGTTTGCTGAACACAAGCATGATGGGAACAAGATCCCGAAAAGTCGTAAGAATAGTTTTGTGTGGTGACCCATACACATTTAAATGCCTGATTCTATGTCTGCCTGTAGTGGCGACTACAAATTGACTAAAAAATCGGTTTTGGAGTGTCTGTTACACTTCCATTTGGCCCTCACCTCTTGAGCTTCACAATATAAGCTTTTGACCATGTAACACATGTACCAGAATATTGTCCTGATTTTCAGTGTGTTGTGCCATGCTCTGTGGTCTTGCATCATCAGAGGCCCTGTGTTATTGTGGGAATTGACTACATGCAGCAGTTGAAGGTCTGGTACTGTGGGTCTCTCTGTGCTGGTTGGGGTTGGAACACTCTAATTGGCTCCCATTGATATGCACTAACACATAACAATCCAAAAGACCAAGGGAAAACAACCAATCACACCCAGTGGTATGGGTGGAGGTGGTCTAAGGCGATTGAAGGGTAATAGTAAAGGTCAAGCGGGAGGGGAGGAGTAAGACAACGTAGGAAGTCTGTAGGAAAACCTAAAATAATAAAAACAACAAAACAACACTCCAGAGTATTGATCTCCACATGTTGCTCATAGATAGTACTGCGGGCACCAACTCCAATCATAGGATAGTGCACGCAGGGGTAGGATTCTCCTAAAAATGCTTTTTTATTTTTATTTCTGTTAATACACACTCACAGGAGCCAATATTTGATGGCAGATAATTAATTCGACAAGTCAGGTGTATTGGCAAAGCTAGGATCGGTCACAATTTGCTAAGCTCAACACTTTTGAACTTTGAGGTTGCTTCAACTCTGATATTCTGAGATGCTGAAGAACAAACTTGTGTTTTACTTTACTTTACTTTACTTCACATTTTATACCATAGAAATGACCCTCTGACTGCTTGGAGATAAATAACAAATAATTGCCACAACTCACTGACTGCACAGCGTGAGTCATGGTCTCCAACGTTTTTAACAAAGTACTAATAAAGCAGTGGAACCTCATACACAAGCCTCTGCCTGATGGACAAAGGGATCTAAAATGCTGGCAGAGGGCTTTGTAGATGAGGCTTGTAAGGCTGGTGGAAGGGTTTGTAGATGAGTTGTGATGATTTGTGAGAGATTTGTAGATGATTCGTGAGTGATTGCGGGTGGTTTGTGGCCCCACTGTCCTCGGCACCATTCTCCGTCTCACTCAAACTTGGTGCAATGTTGATCACCTTCTGCCGCTTGCCTGGTGGATGTGGCTGAGACTCAGAATCACTGGCCACCCTCTCGTACGATGAAGCAGTGGTGCCAACTGTCTCATGGGTGCGTTTCCGGCTTCTGTTTGAGCACGTTTATTAGTGAATCTCATCACGAGCATGGAGAAAAACATACTTCTTCAGTGGTACCTGGGCACCTGAGTGCTTTGCAGCTGCAATCAGCCTCTCTACCCAGACCTCCCATACAAACTCTCTATCTGTATCTGACTTCTAATCCCGGATAACATCTTTAGTTTGCTTCACCAGGACCTCAAGCCGAGATCGCCTTTCAGTAAAGCAGAGCGGACTGTCGGCGAGTTGTAGCTGATGTGTCTGGCAGCACTGTTTGAGGTTACTGTTGAATGCGAACCAGATCCCCTCTTCCTCCTTCTCCTCCGAGTCAAGACCAAAGTGATAGCGTGAGTCTGAGGGAGGTGGATCAAGCAGTAGAGAGTGTTGGAATTTCGGGGTTATTGGTCAAGCTTGCGAGCTCACGCGTGATATGATGGGGCCACCTTAGGCGGCCGTAGCGGGTGAATGTTTATGCGGAACTCATATATAGTCACTGTATCTGCTCTTTGTACAGTATGCGATTGCCCTTCAGGCAACCGACCACCTGGGGCAAGCTCGCTCAATCTACATTTGCCAGGATTCTTTCAACACAATTGCATCTACCCGCTTGGGGGTATAAAATACCAAGCAGGCTTCTCGGGAGCATCCATAAGCACGCCGCTCGCTGGTATTGTGTTCATATTGAAATTTTTTCGCTGTTGACTTCACTTGCTACGGTACGCTCGGGTCTACACTACATATGCTGTGTCACCAACCTTCCCTGCCATTGCTGACTGAATCTGCCTGTGGGGCTGAAGCCGCATCCATTCGTTGTTGCCATATCACCATCGTGTCGTCGCTGCCGCCATACACTTGTTGTCGCCGTGAATTGCCCTTCAATGGGCCGCTGATAAGCCTCCACGATCGTCTGACCTCCGAAATCACGGAATTGATGCTTCCTCCACGCCCTACAGAGTCTATTTGATGCACCTCTCACATGCCGCTGGAATGCGAATAGCTTACTACAATGGTTTGATTTAGATCCGGGCCTTCTAGCATCCTCAAGGCAAGTGCAAAATCCTACGAGGATTTAGCTCTGAGGTCAGGCACTGCGGAGTGGATCAAGAAGTAACTTCGCCACGAATTAGCTCCGGCAGTTGCGGTGATATGCACTGACACACAACAATCACCAAGGACCAAAGGAAATAAACCTAAACCCCGTGATATGGGTGAAGGCGGTCCGGGACAACTGAAGGGTATTTAATAGTTCAAGGGGGAAAGGAGGAGTAAGACGCCATAGGGTAGTCCGTAGAAAGACCTAGAAAAATAAAACAAAAGCCTTGAAGCCAGAAACAAACACTAATGGACGCTCCGGAGTATTTATCCCGAAACGTTGCAAACAAAGTTGCAAACCACGGAACCGAGTGTAGGTTCGGGCTCACGGGAGTAGAAAACGCTAGAAAGACTTGTTTAATTTTATTTCGCTATGTGAGACTCACCGGAGCTAATTGAATCGATGGCGGAGATAATTCACTCGACGAGTCAGGCCTATTGGCAAAGCTAGGATTGGTTATAATTCGCTAAGTTCGACGCTTTCAAACTTCTCGGGTCGCTGAGATCGTAACGCTAATTCTCTGAGATGGTGAAGTCGAAACTTGTTTTTCTGTACGCTAATTTGTACAATTTATACTACAGGAATGGCTTTGCGACTGTCCGGAGATAAATAACAAATAAACGCCGCTACCCACAGGATTGCTCAGCACTTTCCTCTGCTATACCATACACCATACGACTCTCTTGCGCTCCCACTTGCTCTTTCCAGCCCCTATAGGTCGCCTCGATGCTCCGCCACCTGACCCAAGCGGTCCCATCACTCCGTGCGACACGCTGATCACGTGCTAATT